GGGAGTGTGTGTGTGTGTGTGTGTGTGTGTGTGTGTGCGCGTGCGTGTAAATGGAGACAGAGATAGAATTAGGAAAAAATACAAGAAATTACATTTCAAAAACATGAACATGTGTATCATATATAAAGCACATACATATGTTACAGATTTTATGATTTTGTTTATAAGATTATACTTTAAATATGGATACACTTTTTCCACTTTAACCTAAATTAATCAGACATTTTTTGTGATCTGCATTCCTGTTGAGATCCAAGAGAACATAATTGTTTAAAAATTGGTTTTCAGCTTTTGATGATTGTAAAATTATAATATATGAGTCAGAAAACATTAAGGAATACAGCCTAATATAACTCTGTGAAACAGGCATGGAATTCAGAAGGCTAAAGTTCAATTCCTGACTTTGGTGGCCTTGAACACTGTCTCACCAGGCCTCCTTTTTCTCGTCTAAAATAACTGTTCTGGGCTAGATGAAATTCTAGCTCTATCAATCTCAGATTCAAGATATATATATATAGATAGATAGATAGATACATACATACATACATACATACATACATAGATATAGATATATCATCATGGCTACCACCAGCTTCCTTGGCCACCTGCAGCTGTGTCTGCACCCACTGATACCAGTGGTTATTTGGAAGAAAAACTTCAGGAAAAACTTCAGGCATCATAGTGAGTCCTGTATGTATATTTCTTCAGTTTACTTTCACCTGAGGGGGTTGGTAATGGAAAAGAAGGAATGAGCAGGAAGGTGGAGCAGGTTATTGGGGTCACACCCCAGAAGGCTTTCTGACATGGAAAAATCCATTCATCCATCTCTGAGAGTTGCTCAGGCCCCAGTCTTGGGGCCAAGGGGGTTTCTTCTAATTCTGGTTCAACCACTTGCTGGCTTTGTGAGCTTAGGTGATTCTTTGTCTTCTACAATCTCTGTTTCCTCATCCATAAAAAATTAGCCATGATCAAACCCACCTGGATGGCTTACTTCAGTAGCAGGATCGAAT